TTTTTTGAACATTGTCTCGCAGATTGAAAGGGATATGACTTTGAGTTCCTAAAGAAGGGGCAAAATCCCAAAAAATTCCCACACATTTGAATCATTTGAGGTTGAGATGGAAGTCAGTTTTGATTTTTCCCAAAAATTTCCTTCCCACATTCTCTCCCCTGAAAGGAATTTTTGGTAAAAAGTGGTTGATTTTCAAAGAATGTCACATCCCTAGACACAATATTTTCTTTTCTCTACTGAATAACATCTATACCCTTTTTGAGTTGCCGAGTATCCCAAAAAAAATACACTTATGAGCCCTAGGATCCAATTTGCCCGATGTGGATCAAGATTATGTACAAAGGCAACACAACCAAACACTTTTAGCTCTAATGATGACGGAAACCGTGATTGTGGGTACTATTTGTATAGGCAATCTATTGGGGTTTGAAACTTTAAGACACGAGAAGGTACCCTATTAATCAAATAGGTGGCGGTCAAAACTGCATCCCCCTAAAAAATTGTTGGTAAGTTGGCTATAAACAATAAGGACCGGGCCACTTCTAAAATGTGACGATTTTTCCTCTTAGATACCTCATTCTACTGAGGTGTACTAACACATAAACTTTGATGCATTATCCCACTAGTAGTGATGAACTCCCCAGAGTGTTTTTGAAAAATTCAATCTCATTATCTGTTCTTAAAATTTTAATGTTCCCATCAAATTGTGTTTTAACCATGGAATGGAATTGTTTGAAAATACCCTCGGCCTCAGATTTTTCTTTGAGAAGATAAACCCAACAAACACGTGTATGATCATCAATAAAGGTAGTGAACCATTTTTTATTGGTAATGCTTGAGATGCGGGAAGGTTACCAAATATCGCTATGAATAAGAACAAAAGGTTTAGATGGACAATATGATAATGGAGGAAAAGAGACACGAGTATGTTTTGCTAATTGGAAAATTTCACATTGAAATTTATCATTATTTTCAAACAAGAATGGAAACAAGAACTTTATTTAAGGGAAATTGGGATGTCCTAACCTATAGTGCAATAACATAATTTTTTGAATTCTTGAAAGGGAGGTGCTTGCAACCATTTGAGCTTGCCCATGGCTACTTGAATCATCCTCAAAGTAGTATAGACCATTCAGTTCCTTAAAACTGGCAATTCTCTTCCCCGATGATCGGTCCTAAAACATACAAGTAGATGGAGAAAAAGTCACATCACAATCCAGATCTTTTGTTAACTTACTTATTGACAAGAGATTGAAATTTAAATTAGGCACATAAAGAAATTCTTTTAGGACAACATTATCTCCAATTTTTACAGCCGCAGTACCAGCCACAACTGAAGGAGTACCATCTGCAATCTGCACCTTGTGATTTACATATGATGTGTATAATTTTGCACACCCAGTCATATGATCCGTTCCTCCAGAATCAATAATCCATGGTTCTCCTTTCTCAGTCAGTCCACAAAAAACAGATAAAGCTTTACCTTTCTGAGTCATAAGGGACATCGAAGAGGATTGCGCTATCATTTGTTTCAATTGTTCCATTTTCTCCTTGGTAAAGACCATGGTTCCCATGGCTGGTTCAGTCTCCTCTTGTTTCTCCATTGATGCTTGAAACCCTTTTCCTTCACGTCCACGAGTTCGATTAGAAGTCCAATTGGTTGGTTTCCCATGTAACTTCCAGCAATTCTCCCTGGAGTGAGAGGGCTTTTTGCAATGATCACACCATTTTTTGTTTGGTTTCCATTCTCCCTGACTTTCTTGTCCACAGACAACTAGGGTAGAATTTTCCACATTTGGCGTGTTGGTTCCTAGCATGACTCTCCTCCTTAACTCTTCTCTACGGACTTCAGCAAAGATTTCCTCAATTTGAGGAAGTGGTCTCATCCTTAGTAGATGACCACGAGCTTCATACAAATCCTTATTCAGTCTGGCTAAGAAGTCGTAAACACGATCACGTTCCACCAACTTTCTATTCAAAACCAAGTATTCAGGGTCTTTCCAAGAAGGAGAAGTGAACAAGTCCAATTCCTGCCACAGTCTTGTGGCCTCATGATAGTAATCTGTAACATCATTCCCCTGTCTTAGGGTTTAGATCTAGTTCCTCAACTCAAACATCTGTGAGGTATTTTTCGAGTCAAAGTAGGCCATTGTGATTGCATCCCAAATCTTTTTGGCCGTGGGAAAAAGAATGTATGTGTCAACAATATTATCTTCCATAGAATGGATTAACGAAGCCATCACCATTGAATTTTGTGCCTCCCAATTTGCATAAGAGGGATCCTTTAGATTTGGGGTTAGAATTGAGCCATCTAAATATCCGAGCCTTCCCTTTCCTTGAATCACCATTAGGACCGAACGGGACCACTTGAAAAAATTCTTCCCATTCAGTTTTTGTGTTGTGATTTGCAGGGAGGAATGATTGATGCTCTCGGGAATAGCAGTAGGAGCAATTGTGGAGGTTGTTTTAGGGCTGCTCGTGGCAACCTCAGAAACATCACCTATGCTTTCTCCAGTCAAAGTCATTCTATACATTGTTTTCTTCAACTGGTGGTTTTGATACCATGTGAACAAACACGGGTAGAAAATAGTGGACGAAAAACACTGCTTTGTATTCTTATTCCCACGTTGTTTGAAATGAAATACAACCGGCCATAAAAGGCTTGAAAAACATAATAGAAAAAGAAAGAATAAAGAAGAATAATCCTTTCCTAATACAATAGGCATAAACCTAGTATATTCCTTTGATTTCAGAAATTACCATAAATAGGTCATAATCAGTCTAGATTCATCCACAATATATAAAGGTGTACTTATTCTAATCTCATGAACCCAACTCCTTTATCAAGGGCATGAAGGGGGCTTTTTTATTTCCTCTTATACCCTCTTCTATGTTGGTTTACCATTTTTTATTTGTGCTTTCATTTTTCAGAAGTCGGTCTTTCCACTACATGTTTTAATTTGTTAGATGTGTTGCTTACTGACTATATCTAATTCTTCTTCTTCTTCTTCTTCTTCTTCTTCTTCTTCTTCTTCTTCTTCTTCTTGTTTTGCAAGAATTATTTTTATAATTGCATCTTTCTCGTTTTAGATTTAGAGTTTGGACACTGCCCCTTCAATTCTTTGCATGTGTTGTTTTCTCTGATGGTATTTTGTTATCTTTTCTTCCTACTGTTCTGCGGTTTCTCTCAAGATCCAAATAAATTAGACAATATCAATATATCCTTGGTAAGGTTCTTTAAATTTTCTAACTTTTGAGGATTTGAACATTCATGTTTAAAGAGGTTTAGTTTCAGCGGATTTCGGTACTCAAATTTGAAGTGGCAAAGACAGATGTGGCTATGATAAGGGAAGTTCCATGTTACAGAGTAAATATCTAACTATTTCTCCATGTTACAGAGTAAATATCTAACTATTGCTTACACAGTATCATAGTGTTTATCTCTCTTTTTCTCCACCTTTTTCAAACAATTGTTATCCAGTTATTTAAAATGGACACAAACTCATCAGCATTTGTGGTTGAAAGTTTTAGAAGTGGTGACATCTAGAATAAAATTGATATTTTTTTGTGTCTGAAATAAAAGTATAGTAGTGTTGCAGAAAGCGTCATAATAGAAAAGAAAAAATAAGTGGGTAAGTGTACAATTCAGTTGATTGCTTTCTCATTACATTTTTACCTTGTTATATTAGGTGCGAAGAAAATTCTACTCAGTTCTTGCTGTTTATTTCTTTTCTGAATTCTTGTGTTCAATAGTATGTTTTACATTTCTTACCAATATTTATGCTTTTTTTTTCACAGGAATTTCATATCAATGTACAACGGATGAAGCATTCTTGTCCTATTATTTCTCTATGAAAGAAGTTAAATAACATCAGGGAGAAATTAAGAAATATGTCCTATTATTACTGTTCTTAATTATTGTTCAATCGTATGTTTTACGTTTTTTTTATCACCTAAAATTTATGATGTGTTTTCACGAGTCTACAAATTCCAATTCAATGTACAAACGGCATAGCATTGTTGCATAAGTTGTCACGTTGATCGTTGTGCAAGTTGATCATCTTACAACCGATTAAATTCACAGTTTACTATATATATATATATAAATTTTCTGATTCCTATAATATAAGTATTTTTATATTGCTTTATGTTACGGATGTGGTACACAAGTCAAGGAAGTTAGAAGCGCTAAGAATGGGAAAGAATTCGCAGAACTCACAGTTTTCTATAAGAGTTTTATTTATTTATTTATTACCTTGTATGAATTCCAATTATCATATTATATTCTCAAAACTCACAATTTCTAATAAAAGAACTTGGCAGTATATTTTGAATTAATATGCTTGATTTTGTATGGCCTTTCATTCTGCAGCTTAATTTAGGTGAAGTCCCTCGTGTTGTTGGAGCTAAGTTTGCTTTTTATACTAAGTGAAGATAATCAATTGTTAGCTTTCTTCTGTGGCTAAGTTGAATGGTGAGCCCAAGTAACCTTTTGGAGGGTCCTTTCTATTTTTGAAACAATAAGATGTGGTGGGAAGAGTTACGTTTGTGATGCATGTTTTTCTTAACCCATATTGTACGGCTACTTGTACTTTCTTGCTTTGGTATGTAGAGAAATTTATATTTTAGGATTTAATGGTTGATTTTGACAAACTATGCAACTCTCTCTCTCTCTTTTCCCTTTTTGGTGTGTGTGTGTGTGTGACACTAAGTTATACATACTATAATTGTTTTGGGTTACTATCAAAGAAACATATATTAATATTAAATTCAGTTCAATGTTCCCACGTAGCTTCATTTTTTTCAGGTTAATGTAATAGTAAGAAAACTGTAAAGAGAGGATGGTTATTTTGCACTATTCAATTTAGTACTCACACATGCAGTTTCATCTAGCAACTATATAATAAATTAGAGTTTGTTTACTAATATTACTGTTCAAACTTTTGGTCTTTCTATTTTGCCATTTTCTCGATTTTTTTCTGGCCCTGCTTACTGTAGCTGGTACCCTTTCGTTGCCTTCGAACTTTAGGGTTCTCTCCCTTGTCTTTTCTTACCCTTCTATGCATTTGAGTTCTTTATCTCCCAAAAATTTTAGTTCCGAGTTTGGGGAATTTTTTTCGGAACCAGCCCTAACGTCACTCCTATGCTCTTCGACCAAACCAGGTACCTTCTCAGCATTGATTTTACTATTTTACTTTTCTTTGTTGAAGTTTCGTTTCTATGTGAAGATGTCTTTGGGGAATATGTGTGTGCATTTTTGTTTAAATTCTTCCATAGCTCTAAAGTTATTTTATATTAAAACCTTCATTTTGTTCCCACCCCCTTCTTAACTGGCTTTCCTTTTTGGCACACCGATCTTTACCAACAGTGACCCTCTCGAGAGGGGGTATGTATTCATTTGTTTATTTTTTCTTGAACAAATTCTTTTGTTATGCAAACCAAAGCATTTGTTCAAGTTGGCCCTTTGAATCTCTCCAACAGCCGACGGGTGCGAACTTGAAGTTAGGCTTTTGGTTTTTGGAGGTTAGTTTGATATATTTGGGAGCGAGCTTGAAGTTGCACTGAGCTTTTTGGAGGTTAGATTTTTTTTCTCCTTATCAAACCGTCCCTTGATTATTTTTTAAACAGATAAGAGAAATGTCTTTCACATGGTTTTTTCTCTTCGTAGAGGAAAACATGAATTACACCCCTCGCAACCTGATTTAAATGTTGAAACTAGAGGTTCAGCTCTATCTTTCGCGTTGTTTATTGTACTTTTGTCTGCGTTTTTTATTTATGGACACTAAATTCTTAATATATTTTCTTTTTGTGAAAAAAGAAAAGATAATTTGATGTCCGATTTCACATGTGGAAAGAACCAGAATGCTACAAGACAAAAGCTAAGTCATGCTCTGTACATGGTATGTTGAGGTAAAATGATGATCTAATTTCTATTTGCATTACTTAAAATCTTATTATGTACAATTTTACATGATTTAAACAAGGCTTCTAATGCATCTTCATTAATATCATTATCGTTGACTCTTCCATATTTGGATGCCTTTTTATTTTCAGTGTCTATCTATGAACATTAGGATGTACTATATAGTTTCAGATGAAGTGTGGCATCAATTTGTTCTTGTGCCTTTCTTTGATAGTTCTTTGTATGATTGGTCTATATAGTTAAATGTTAAACATGCTCTGTTTCCTTGCCATGGTTTGTTGGTTTGAACACTTATGCTTGAATGTTGATTTGTTCATATTATTACCACATCTATCGTGGCACTTGAGGCAACATAGGATCAATAACAGCTAATTCACTGTCATCTTAATCTTTTTTTACTGAAAATATGCAAACGCCATTCAATAATGAATTCCAGAAAACCAAATTATTATATATACTAAAGGAAAGCTTCGGAACACTGTTCATGTAGACTGAAATTACTGTGTATAGTGCAGTGGAGTGACGTTTTTGGCCTTTATTTCTCCCTTATTCGGTTGGTGGGCAGTGAGTTAATGTTCATATGTTTCTTTGGTTTTCTGCTGTGTGCCGCTACTGCCACCCTTTTTTTTTTGGTTCTTCTCTTTCCTGTGATCATTTTCTCTGGCTTTCTTTTGTTCGGGATCTTGCTTCTGATCCTTTGTGGTTTTGGTGTGTTGGTTGTGTTGGTGGGATTTTGGTTGAAATTTGGGGATTTTATTCCTTTCCTTTTGGATTCTTCCATTGTTTCCGTTCGCAGTTCATGCTTTATTTTTCTTTCATTTTCCGTCTACGCCTCTTTAAATTTTGCTTCTTGCTTCTTTGTTCGTTTGTTTTTAATTTTTCCTCTTTTTTTTCCCCGGGTTTTTTCCTTTTCAGGTTTCTTTCATGTGGTATTTTCTTTTTTAATGCTTGGTGCTAGGTTCAAATTTTTGGCGGGTTCCTTATCCTTTCCTTTGATGAACTTATTTCTGCAGGTATTGTATTTGCGCCGGTGGATTTCCTCTTCACTGATTCAATGCCTCGTATGGGTAATTTTTTTGGTTTTTTTTCCCTTCATTTATTGCGTTGATGATGTGGACTGCCTATAGTTGTCCTTTGCTTTTTTAGGTTGATGATTTGTTCTGCTTTTGTTACGGATATTAAATGAATCGGTGATATTTTTTGTTTTATGTATTTTCTGCAATCTGAGCCATTCTTATCCTGCATCATCTAGAATCTTGGGCAATTTAGAGGAAAAAAATATTTTCCTATTTTTTTCTTCTTTTTCCGATTTTTCTTGCTTCTGATTTTTTCTATTTTTGAGGATATTATTTTAAAATTGTTCCTACGGCTTAGTAATTAAGAAATTTTGGTCTTTTAATTTTTCTGAACTGAATATGCATTACTATGTGTCATATTACTAGAAGTTACTTACTATTCATGCCGACTTTTTCATTCATTATTTACAAATGTTAGCATGGACACATTTGTGATGCACGTTTCTGCCTTATTTCCCTGTACCTGTTGTTTTTTCCGTTCCGTTCTTTTCTTCACCATCTACTGTTTCACTTTGTTGCTCTTCATTTGCTGCTTTGCTTCTCTATTTATTTGCCTTTGACTGCTCCTATTTGCTGTTCTTTTATCCATGATCCTTGACTGCTTCATCTTATCGTTTAGTATTTACTATTTTCTTTACTTATCCGTCTACCATTGACTCTCGGTGCTCATTTCTGGTTGGTCCATATCTTACACCTACAACAGTGTTTACAACGTTTCAGGTATGATTAATCGCTTTTACTTACCTTTTCCTAATGTTATTAATGTCTGTTGTTTCTTTACTTTAGGATTTTTGTTGATCTACGACTTCATTATTTTATTATTTTTTAATGGCATTAACAGTTTTACTCGTATTTTATTCGTTTCTTAGTAACATGCTTAGATATATGTAATAATTTAGAATTTTTTAGCTTTAGTCTTCATTTTTTCCTTGTTCCTTTTGTTTTTGTCTATGTCCGTTTCCTATTCCTTTCTCTCCTCGCTCCCTTCCCCTTCTTTTCCTTTTTTTTTTTTTTCTCTTTTTTCTTCACCTCTTATGATAATGATGAGCAAGATTAATCTTGCTATGTTGAGTTTGATATGATTTATCCAAAAAGTATTGTTGATGTATTATTTTTATTTTGTGCTGTTTTTTTTTTATTCTCTTATTCAGAATCTTTGATTGTTCCTTTTTTTATTGTTTCTTATTTTGATCTTTGTATTTTGTTGGGATCACTCTTTAATTCAAGACTTATTTGTACGTGTGTGTATTAGTTTTCTTCTTACAATACTAAATATTGTTTTTTCTGTTTTCTTTGCCTATCATATTTTCTCATGATTTTTTTTCATTACAAATCTTTAATATTTTTACTCATCATTTGAATTGAAATTTATTTATTGATATAATATGTTATTTTATCTTCTTTTGATATTTGTTTTGTCTTTTAACTTTGAGTTATGTAATTTGAATTATCTATTGCCGAAGCAGGTATCTTTCATTGTGTATGATGTACTTCTCAATATCTTTATGTCTCCTGTTTTTTGTTTGTTTTTCACTTTTTTCTCCCTTTTTTATCCTTTCTTTTTGTATTTCTTTCTCTTTTCCTTTTCTTTGTTCTCTTTGTTTTTCTTTCCTTTCATTTTTCCTTTGCTACCCTGTTCCTTTTCTTTTTTCCTTTTTTCTGTTTCGTTTTTATCTATATCTTTTACCTGATTTTTGTTTTCTCTCTACTTCGTCTAATCAAGAGAATACCTATTTTTTTTTATACCTAATAGTTAAAGCAATATTTGGACTAGTTCGGGTACTGTTAATACTTTCTGTTTACTTTCTTCAATGTCATTAATATTTGTTCTTTGTTTGATTGATTACTTTTTTTCATTTATAGCCTCATGTCTTGTCCCCATCTTCAAGAATAAAGGAGATGTGCTGAATTGTAACAATTATAGGGGCATAAAGTTAATAAGCCACACTATGAAACTTTGAGAGAGAGTTATCGAAAGGAGATTAAAGGCCACAACTACCATCTCAGGTAACCAATTTGGCTTCATGCCAGACAGATCAACCACGGAAGCCATTTTTCTTCTTAGGATGTTGATGGAAAGGTACAGAAAAGTCAAGACGGACCTACATATGGTCTTTATAGATTTAGAAAAGACATGATAGGGTGGCGAGGGAAGTTGTATGGTGGGTGCTAGAAAAAAGAGGAGTGCATGTGAGGTATATTAAGGTAATTAAGGACATGTACGATGGGGTGGTCACGAGTGTGAGAATTGCTGGAGGCTACACGGCAGAGTTCCCCATTTAGATCGGCTTTCATCAAGGATCTGCTCTTAGTCCTTATCTTTTTTATCATCGTGATGGATGAGCTGACAAGAGAAATTCAAGATAGAGTTCCTTGATGTATGCTTTTTGCGGATGATATAGTTTTAGTTGATGAACATAGAGAAGAAGTTAACCGTAAGTACTGTGGAGACAAACTCTCGAGACGAATGGATTTAAGTTAAGTAGGACGAAAACTGAATACATGCATTGTAGGTTTAGTAACTCAAGTAGCAGAGTGATAGAATTTCTTTAGATGATGTGGAGATTAGGGCTTCTAGAAAGTTTAGGTACCTTGGGGCTTCTAGATAGAGTTCCTTGGTGTATGCTTTTTGCGGTTGATATAGTTTTAGTTGATGAACATAGGGAAGAAGTTAACCGTAAGTTAGAACTGTGGAGATAAACTCTCGAGACGAATAGATTTAAGTTAGGTAGGACGAAAACTGAATACATGCAGGTTTAGTAACTCAAGTAATCAGAGTGATGGAATTTCTTTAGATGGTGTGGAGATTAGGGCTTCTAGAAAGTTTAGGTACCTTGAGTCTATAGTGCAGTATGAATGAGATATAAAAGAGGATATTTAACATAGGATTAAGGCATGGTGGGTTAAGTGGAAGAATGCTACGAGAGTTTTATGTGATGGTAAGATGTCTATTAAGTTGAAAGGAAAGTTCTATAGGACTGTAATTCGCCCAGCTATGTTATATGGTAGTGAATGTTGGGCCATTAAGAGACAACATATATCTAAGATGAGTGGCAAAAATGCGTATATTAAGATAGATGAGTGCCATACGAGAATTGATCGCATAAGGAATGAAGTTATTCGTAGTAAAGTAGGTGTAGCACCAATAGAAGATAAGGTGCGCGAAGGCCACTTAAGGTGGTACTGGCATGTCTAACGTAGACCGCTAGAAGCACCAGTTCGTGCTTGGGAGGACATTCTTATACTTAATATTAGGAGAGGGAGGAGTAGACCAAGAATTACATGGACCGAAGTTGTTAGGAAACATTCTAGATTTAAGCATTCAAGAAAGTTTAATTTTAAACAGAGTTGTATGAAAAAGTGAAATCCATATAGCCGACCCTAATTAAGTTGGGATTAAGGCTTGTTGTTGTTCTTCTTCATTTATAGCCTCACTATTTTATCATTGCTTAATGGCACTAATATCTTTACTTGCAACTTATTTGTTTGTTAGCAACGTGCTTAGATACATGTTTTTTTTTGGGATGTTTTCTGATTAATTGTCCTTCTTTATTACTTTAGTTTATTTCTTCATCACATGTTAATGAAAAATTCCATTCTTTAACCGATGACAACTGTATAAAAATACTATAATATTCATGTTTTTTAATTTGTCTTCAATACTTCTTTTTTCTTTTTTTTCCCTTTTTCTTTCCTCAACGTTTTTTTTTTTTTTTGCCTTATGTTCCTTTTCTTTGCCTGATTATTTATTTATTTATTTGCTTACTTATTCATGTATACTATTTCAGGTTTCCTATCATCCACTGCTTTGCATTTTTATTGTCCCATCCATTTCTAAACATTGGTGCTTGCTTGCTACATCTTTTCCATTTGGAGTGCTATTTGCAGCGCCTAAGGTATTGCTAATAACTTTTATCCAAATTTTTTTAACCAATGTTGTTGATAATGGATGCAGTAATTTGCTATAGCAGTGTTAATATATGTTATTTATCCTTTGTTTACATCATTGATGCATACTGCACATCTAAAGAGAAGAAGACTCTTCCTAAATAAATCAATATGTTGTCTTGGGCGTTTTCTTTACTAGTTCCTGACCCATACATAGACATAGATATGTATATTGGCAATAATGATCATACTCAATTTTTACATGTTAAAATCTATTTGATTTGTCCAAAAACTGTTGTAGCTATATCTTTCCTATTTCATTTCCTATTGAGTCTGTTTTGTCTTTCTTTTCTTTGCCCTAAAATTCCAAATGACCTATTTCTTCTTTTCTTTGTTGACTCTAATGCTCTTGCCATTTTCTTTATTAGTTCCTGATCCATACATAGACATAGATATATATATATTGGCAATGATGATCATACTCAATTTTTACATGTTAAAGTCTATTTAATTTGTCCAAAAATCCTATTCAGCCTATTTTTGTCTTTCTTTTCTTTGCCCTAAAATTCCAAATTACCTATTTCTTCTTTTTTTTTTCCACTCTAATACTCTTGCCTTCTCCACGCCTCTGCCTTGTTCAAAAAATGCAATTACTTATTCTATTACATATTATGATATACATTAAAAGAAACCTTTGGATCACTGTTCACGCATATTTATTTTATTGCTGATCGTCCAATAGTGTTATCGTTTTGTCCTTTTTATTCTTCTGCTCCCTTTGTGGGTGGTCGGTATTTTGGTCTTTTAAGGCATCTGGTTATATTTAGACCCTTTTAGCCTTTGTTTATGCTGTCAACCTCTTCGTGGTTTTAGAAATGTGAGGATTATTGTTCACGCACACTCATTCTATTCCTAATCATATGATGGAGAGATGGTCTTGCCCTTTTTATTTCCCTTTTATGTTTCTGCCTGAAGCTTGCTTTAGTCTTTTTAGCTCCCAAAATGTGTACGAATGCTTTTTTCCCTAAATTCTTAGTCCATTCTTTTTCTCTGCCGTGGGACTCTTTGTTGTTCTACGAATGTGGAACATCAACATTTCTTTGTTCTTCAATTTCCATTTTCTTTAGCATTTTCACTTTTTGTTTTTTCTCCTTTCTTTTGTTCTGGTCCGGTCTGCTTATTATAGTTAGTCCTTATTCCTTTCACATCTTTTTCCACAGAAGGAAAAAAAAAAAAATATAGTTACATGGTGATTTTTTGACAAATTGATATGTTACAACTTATATGTTACAACTTATATGATGGATATGATGTCCTACCAATGTTTGTGCCTTTGTGCTGTTGCCCATAGTTGGTAGCCACAAAATGGTCATAAATGTGTAAGTTTCCTTATCCATCATATATTGCTGAAAATATTATAAATCTGAGCCCCCATCACTATGTCAAAGGATCAGGATGTTTATATTTAACTTTGTTTATTTTATTTATGTGATTCTTAATTCATTTATCACTGATTTTTTCATATTCTCTCATAATCTTCATCACTTTGAATGTTTTTTGCCCCTGAATTCTTAGTCCATCCTTTGCCTCTGCCGTCGGACTCTTTGTTGTTCTAGGATTATGGAACATTAACACTTCTTTCTTCTTCAATTTTCATCTTCTTTAGCATTTTCACTTTTTGTTTTTTCTCTTTTGTTTTGTTCTGATCCGGTCTGCTTGTTATAGTCTTTATTCTTTTCACTCCTTTCTTCATAGAAGGAAAAAAATATATATAAGAAAATAAAAATACATCATTATTTCATGGTCTCTCATTTAAGCTACCTGGTGGTTTTTGGACAAATTGATATTCTACTTTTGCAAGTTAATTTTTGGATCATTGCAACTTATATGATGGATATGATGTCCTACCAATGTTTGTGCCTTTGTGCAATTATATCTTGCTTTATCAAGAGCTACAAACCTAAACGGATTACACATATTAATCCATAATTTAATTAATAAATATCCAAATTATATAAGAAATATTGTCTATAAAGAAATTCTACATAATATCCTATAAAAATGTAAAATACTCCATAAGAATATATACACTATTAATATACTAACTCAAAAATACAGGTAACATTATACTAACAATTTCATGTCATCAATATTTTTTATTACCACTAAATTTAAAACATATTTAATAAAATTACTCATCCACAACTTGAATAATCACTTTTCTCCGGTCAATGACTAGGCAATATGACCACCAATTCGTGCATTAAGACCAAATGAAGTTTATGAAACAATCAGGGCAATAATCTGCAGATTATGGACAAACAACGACTTGACCACAGGACGTCTAATAAGTCTTGATTGTCTCTTAGTCGATGAAGAGGTAATAACTTTATCAAACATTATAGTATATTATCTTTTATTTTATATTATATATAACAAAGTTTATGATAATCACATCTTTTTCATTTATCCAAGCATCAATCCGAGCACGGTGACTTAGATGTTATTTTTCAAAAAATTCAACTGGGAGTAATATATGACATAAGCAACTTCTTCGTTACCCAGAACAAATTAACATACAAAGTTGTACCACATAATGCAATGTTACAATTTGCACGTGCAATAGCTTTTGTCCCAGTTGCAGAAGAGGCACTTCCCATCCCTTTCTGCAAATTTTACTTCATAGAATTTAATCAGCTTCAGCACAGGATCCAGACAATCAAAATTTTAATTGGTAACATAAATCACTTTTTCCTCGAAAAAAAAATACATTACTAATCCATTGATTTATATTCTTAACGTTATCTATTTATCTATCAACAGATGTCATTGGCATTGTAACAAAGGTGTAAAGTATTGAGCAAACAAATGTTAACAACAGACCAACATCACGACACACAATAATGATACAAAATATAAGGTAAATCTATGCGAATTTCATCATAATCACATAACAAAAATTTATATTCATTAAGAGCACAAAACTTCTATAACAATCAAAATATCCCATCCTAATTTTTCTTTTTTAATTTTCTTTTCCCAACAGAAATGAACAGCTGCAAGTTACTTTATGGGGACATAAAGCATATCAATTTGACGAAAATGTCTTTAAATCAATAAAAGGACCAGTTGTAACAGTCTTTGCAGCAATGTTACTCAGCAATATCTAGGTATTTTCTTAACACTTTTTATATATAATGACATATATAAATAAAACACTTACACCAAAGCACACCAAGATATTAATTAATTCATTGCCAATACCTAAGGAAATGCATATGTATTCAGCACCGCAGCCACAATCTTCTACATCAATCCAGATATACTAGAGACAAGAACATTAAAAATAAGGTAACAAAAACAATTCATAGTATTTAAAGCTAATAACCCTTTATCATTTCTCCTCCTATTAAATTTTCATTTACAGATTTTCTCATCAACACCAAGAAATTGAATTCCAAACAGCACCATCAACACCAGCTCAATCCATTGAAGAACAAAAAACCCAAAATAGAAGAACAATTGAAAAACTAAATACACTAGACTAGCGAGGCAACTAGGTTAGCATTATGATATTCCTTATCTTTTTTCTCTTTCTAATTATACTATTTGAACCAACAACTTCTCATGTTCAATATAGGGAACAAAATTTACAGTAAAAGCTACTATAACCGGATTTTCAACTGACCAAGCATGGTATTATAATTCATGTCCAAGATGCTATCGACAGCTAAAACAGGCAGGAATTGATTGGTGGTGTGACAGTCACGATCACATCAAAACAATACCATCCCCATGGTAACAAAAATTTCAATATACTACCGCTAACATCCATTTACATTTATTGACTATAGTAACTAATTTATTAAATTAATCTACTATTATTTCATAAAATACATGTACAAACTCATCACACAAATTGAAGATATAACTAGAAACATGAAGGCTTCACCGATCCCTGACAATTCCACCAATCATCAATTTGCTAAAAGGACAGACAAAGATTTTCTAAGTATATTTTTAAGAAAAAGGAACACAAATAAATGCAATAGCTTCAAAAATATTTGAAGATACACAGCCCACAACACTGTCACTACAAATATCAACTACCATGATGCCATAGCCAAGGTAAAAAAATATTTATTAATTTATACCAGTCATAAATAAAGAAATAGCACTTACTACTTTAAACATATATATAAAAGCAATATTCTATAATTTTAGTGTCCGCCCAGAAACAAGAACACCGGACCAACATCAATTCACCCACAAACACCAGACCCAAAAAAATCAGGTGTAAAGTTAGATATACTTACTAATTTACATTATTTATAAATAAAAAATAATACTTATAATTTCAAATATATAACTTAAGATATTTTTGCCATTTTAGTTCTCAAGCAAAACAAGTTGAGCAACCTAGAAAACACCCAAGAACTAGGTAAATATAACTACTCCTAAATAAAAAAATTTCTAATTTCATCAATTATTAATACTAATTTGTTAAAAATTTACTTCTTGCAGCTAAAAACACAACACCAAAAATTGATAAAACAAGCTGGAACAGAATGTGAAGAAATCTTTGTTACTTCATTATATATACTTATGAATATACATATGTATATATAAACTACTTTTGTTTTTGTATGCTGGAACAGACTGTAAAGAAATCTTTGTTACTTCATTATATATACTTATGTATATACATATGTATATATAAACTACTTTTGTTTTCATATATTATGAAAATACTACCCGCAACAAGGCGTGGGTTATCGACTAGTTTATACTATAAATTAGAACTTATAATAAATTACATCCTTGTTTGGTTCACCATTTGGATTGTAAGATTTGGTTTGAATTATGTGATTTAAATTGTAACTCGAACCGGTGTTTAGATATGTAAATAAATTATAATTTAATTGGGATTAAAATCTGAACTGTGTTTGGATAAATGGTATAATAGATTTGTTTCCTATTATACTATCTAATAGTCAAGTAAGCACATGAAAGGGAATGAATGGCCTTTAAGATCAGTTTGGCATTGCTGTATTGTTGAAACGTTTTGTTGAGTAATAAATTGTTGTAGCTAGAAGCATATAAGTGTTTGGTAAATATTTTTACAAAATTGTTATAAATACTAGAAGTAGAAATTTATGTGCATGGTAAAATGTGTATACAATTTTTATAGAGATGTATAATGGCTAAAATAGACATACTTTAGCACATACTTATAATTATTTTTATTTCTATTTTTATGGTCAATATTTAAAATATAAAAAATATAATTCTAATTTATTAAATAAAATATTTTTAAAAAATAGATTATTTTTTATTAATAGGGAAGAATTATTCATCAGTTAAATTTCTTATTTATTTATTGTTGTTATTTTAAACATTTTGATAATTACTAAAAATATTTGAATAAAATTTAGCATAGCATAAAGATTTTCAATTGTAAATAACTATTTTACCAACATGTGGCATATGTCATGTTGCTACTTTGGATTGTTGGTTTTACGTGTCATGCTACATAGCAATGCTCATGAGAATCCTCAACGGTCTTAAATTTCTCCTGGTTTTAGCTTTTATTTATTTTTTCAACCTAAGCATAAGCAGCTTCTCAAAGTTAACTAAGCACCATTAAATACCAGTCAAATTTAAAGGCAATGTTCTCCATTAACCTCCCTCTCTTTCTCTCTCTCTAGCTTAGCTAGTACATATTTTCTTCCTTTAAAACAAAAAAAAAAAAATGTCACAAAAATGTCAAAGGTTAGCCGGTAAAAGTATGTAGTAAATATATAGCTTAAATTTGTTAGCTAATTTTGAGTCCAAACTATGGTTTTAAAATCGGGATTTGAACCATCTAAAATTAAAATTAAGAGAGGGTGATTTTATTTTTCTTAATACACGTTCACTTCGCTGATTCGAGTTTAGAATTCGAGTTGAGATGTGACTTTATGTGAGAGTTTTTTACTGTAGTAAAAAAGTTAGATTTAATTGTTTGTGAGAGCTTTTTACTGTAAAAAACTCGAATTCTAAACTCGAATCGGCGAAGTGAACGAGACCTTAGATGATTCTAATTTAAAACAATAAATCAGAGTTTAAATTTTGAATCAAAACCATCTAAACTAAATGTAAAAACCATTTTTTTATTTTTTTTAAACATACTCTTGGAATCCTCAACGTTCCTTTTAAACTTCGCCATTAGTCCCTACTTAGAGTATCAAGTTGGCGTTTATGTAGAAAGTTGTTCTTTTTTTTTTGAACTTTTAATGAAACATAATAATTAACGAGTTTTTAGAATGATGTGGCAATGGCAGCCATGTGGCATATGTCATGTTGCTACTTTAGATTGTCGGTTTTACGTGTCGTGCTACATAGCAATGCTCATCAGAATGCTCAACGGTCTTATTACGTGTCGTGCCTCTCTGTCTTTCCGTCTATGTTCACCCTCTCTCTCTCTCCTCCTCAGAGACGAATTCTCAACGTTCTTATTACTTCAAACTCCCTCAACTGCCTCTCTCTCTCTCTTTCTGTCTATCTTCACCCTCTCCCTCTCTCCACCTTCACCGAGTCTTTCTCACTCTCTCTTCTCCTTCACCGAATCTCTCTCTCTCTCCCTCCACCGTCTCTCTCTCTCTCTCTCTCTCTCTCTCTCCCTATTGAACTCTTTTTCTCGCTTTGCGTCTTGAGATATCGAGTTACGACGGAGATGTTGAGCTGCCCTCATTCTTCGTTGGAGATATCTGCTCCTATCATCGCCACGAATCGCCGGAGAAGAATAGAGGAAGAAGATTGGTTTTGTTGCGATTCCGGATTTGATTTCATAATTTCACCTTTCTAGTTTTGTTGACTTTTGATGCCGCGATTTCAATGATTTTGCTTATTTCGTTTCGTTGAGTTTTGATTCCGCGATTTCGGCTTCGATTTCGCGATTTTGCTTCTCTGATTTTTTTTTGAGTTTTGATGCAGGTTTCGCCGGAGATGTTTGGGTGTGGCCGACTGCCAAAGCCTTTTTCCCTCTCTCTCATCACCGCTGTCAATCCAACGTTCAGAATCGCCGACAACATTCCGGCATCGCGGCGATCTCTGCAATTCCGACCTTGCAACTTTGTCGTTTATCGTACCTCAACACCGCTCCAAGTGTTCGACCAAATGCCGCCATAGAACCCCCTCTTCTGTCGAATCTAAGTTGTGAATTTTTATCTGAGTTTTGTGAATTTTTATTTGAGTTTTGTGAATTTTGATCTTGTAACATGCATCCTTATATTATGCTTTGTTAGCGTGCACTCTGTTTATTGGGTGTATAAATCTTAACATGCATGTATTGCGGTCTTTTGGTATAATGGGTACTTTCGTATTGTTTTTGATTGCCTTCTTTAATCTCTGAAGTTGTTGAAATTGAGAATATTTGTCTCTTTCTACACTAATTCTAAGAATATTTGAACGATGAAGACTCTCTCTTTCTTTGATTAATTATTAGTAAACATTCCTTCAAATGTCCATCACCTGTTTGTCATTATGTCTGATAGATCTTTATACCCATTGTCTTTTAATTGCTATGATTCATTTTCACTTTCTTAAAAATATGTCCTTATCTCCATTTTGAACTGCGTGGGTATTCTTTTCCATGGCATCATCTATTGTGTAATTTCATTAAATTTCATCGTTAACTGCTCAGATCTTCTTATATCTCTATAATTTACTCATTACAAAATGATGTTTCTTATGTTAAAAAATATTCTTCTATTTAAGATATATTCTATTTGATTATCACAACTAAATTCTCTTTTTATAAGAGTTTAAGCAGTTATATTTTCTTCTCTATGTAGAAATTTTAATATTTCGAGGAAACATTAACGAAGTATGGGATAAGATAATCTACTGAGTTTTATTGTGGTTGTCTCAATTGAAATATTTTAGTGGAGTCTCATTTTCTTATTTTCTTAGGGGCTGGGACATTATTTTGCGCTGATTTGGGCTTGTTTATTGTTTTGCTCGTCTTTTCTCTGGCTGTTAGTGGACGTCTTGTCCCCTTTTGTGTACTCGTTTTGATTGCTTTTTCTTCTAATAAACTTTTTCGTTTCTTATTAAAAAAATTTGATATAGTCATACTAGTTCTTTCTCTATAATCTGTAAGTCAAATACCGACAAGGTGACTCCATCATTTTAGAAGACATTTTTTATAAGTCTTGACGTAAAAAACATTTTTATAAGTGTTGTGCTTCTTTTTATGTCAAAACCACAAACCATTTCTATTCCTTTATCTAAACATTCAAACCACAAACCATTTCTATCTGTCTTGATGGTCTATTTTTCAAATTTTTCTTATGATTTCTTATTATATATATGATATGTTCCTCTATTAGCACTTGGTTAAGAGGTCAATAATAGAAAATGACTGTTATAGACGCGTAGTTTCACACCTTTCATCTTCTCTTATATTTTCCATTTTTTATTGGTTTTATAAATGGGGAATATGGGACAAGAATCTGAAATCAAATCCCAATTGGGGGCAAAAATTTGCTCCATTTCAAGCTGCTCAAATGCTTGTGTTCATCATTGGCGATGTCTCCCCTCCATTTCCATTCCCACCGGTCGTGAGCGCATTCAAACCTTAATTAATCGTTGAGTAAAGCGTGCGAATTAGCAGTTTCGAATAAGCAGGGAGCGGATTTTACAAATTTGGAACGGGCAACTATTCATGAAGCGGTTAAGAAAACTTGAGGGAAGTTTTCAAACTCTTTTATTTAGATTTAATTTTGATATTTCAATATTGTTTATACGTTGAGTTTAATTCTAACAACTTCATTTATTTGGTCTATCTATCTTTCCCT